GCGGTGACCGGGACATGGGCCGCTCGGTGTCTCTATCCAATAATTCACGCCAAAAAAAGGAGTCTGATCGACTCCCACTAAAAAAAGGGAAAAAATCCAAAAATACACACGATATTAAAAAAAAATCTCAAAATACATACGTTATAAAAAATATTCCTAATCTACACATGTTTGAGCTTCACTGCGGCCGTCAACCGCAGTGAATAACATCACCGTGGCCGTCAACCGCAATGAATACTTCACCGCCACTGTCCGAAACGGTGAATATCACCCTGTCCATTCACCGCCGGTGTCCCAAGCGGTGATGGCCTAATTTGGGTGGCTTCCTCTTCTTATGGTTCTGGTTCGAGTTCCCTGCCGTAGGGGAGAGTTCTTGGAGGGGGGAGCTGTAAACTCCAATGGCTGCAACTGATGTGACCTCTGTTTTGTATTGGCAAGAGGTATATAATTAGTAGTTCTAGGTTGTTGATTATGAACCACCACATCTCTGCTCGATGACACATCATGAAGCTGCGACGGCGGCGGCGACCACGCCAACCGCAACCGGAATAAGAACAAGAAGAAGAACTGCTCCTCCTGGTCCTCCCACCAACGGAGCATCGGAGATCGTGGCGGAGCCCGTGGACGTGCGGTCGTGGGCGCTGGAGTTTCTCCGGGGCCGGCGGTGCCCGGGCCGGCGAAGGATTTCAAGCATCCGACGCGGCTGTGGTCGACGCTGGGTGCGATGGCGATCAAGCACCCAAAAGTACTGGGATTTTTCCCCTCCATTTCAGTCAAGTGCCAACGCAACAACAACTCCGGCCATGGACTTTTGGCCAATACCCAAATTAGTCCATCACCGTTTGGGACACCAGCGGTGAATAGACACCGCTTCGGACATTGGCGGTGAAGCATTCATCGCGGTTGACGGTGGCGGTGATGTTATTCACTGCGATTGACAACCACGGTGAAGCCCAAACATGTGTAGATTGGGAATATTTTTTATAACGTATGTATTTTGAGATTTTTTTTTAATAATGTGTGTATATTTGGATTTTTTCCCTAAAAAAAGAGAGAGGTCCAATTCCAACTCCTATCCCCCACTACTAACTGTTTCCATGGCTGCTCCGGCCCATCTCATACTATATTTTCATTTTGCCTTACCCAAGAAAAAGCCCTTTTGCATACGTGGCATCAACAAACTTTGGCCCTCACCAACCGCCGCCGTCGGCCGCCGTCAACCCACCCATTTTCAGTTTTTGACTTCTTGAACTGGCTCCATCGCTCCACCACCACCAAACGCCGGCGTCAAATTTGTCCGCTTCGTCCATATGAATTATCGTCACTCCTCCTTCGCTACTCCACATAGAACAAAAGCCAGCTGAGCAGCTCCTCCTTAGTTGTTGAAAAAAGCGCCTCTTCGCTCCCTCGACGAGTCCGTCCAAATTGAAATTGGCAAAAATTTCGCCAAAGGCCAACACTTCCCCTAATTCCCACCCACCATTTTTCCCCTCTATATACTTCTCCATCTTTCCGTTTCTCTCCTCCTCCCATCTCCTCCGCCGCCCAATTTCCTTTTCCGTCGAGCCCAACAATGGAAGCCTCCACCCTTTCCCGCATCGGGCTCGCCGGCCTAGCCGTGATGGGTCAGAACTTGGCCCTCAACATCGCCGAGAAAGGCTTCCCGATCTCCGTCTACAACCGCACCACTTCCAAAGTCGACGAAACCCTCCAGCGCGCCCAGAGCGAAGGCCCCTTCCCTCTTTCCGGCCACCACACTCCTCGCGATTTTGTCCTCTCCCTGCAGCGACCCAGATCTGTCATCATCCTGGTCAAAGCAGGGTCCCCAGTTGACCAGACCATCGCCGCACTTTCCGAGCACATGGAGTCCGGCGACTGCATCATCGACGGCGGCAACGAGTGGTACGAGAACACCGAGCGCCGAATTCAGGAGGTGAGCAATCGGGGGATCCTTTATCTGGGTATGGGTGTCTCCGGCGGCGAGGAAGGTGCCCGTAACGGCCCTTCCTTGATGCCAGGTGGGTCTTTCCAGGCTTATAACAACATTAAGGATATCCTAGAGAAAGTAGCTGCTCAGGTTGAGGATGGTCCTTGCGTGACTTATATTGGGGAAGGTGGGGCTGGGAATTTTGTGAAGATGGTTCACAATGGGATTGAGTATGGCGATATGCAGCTCATTTCTGAAGCTTACGATGTGTTGAAGAACGTGGGTGGACTGTCGAATGAGGAGCTTGGTGAGATTTTTGGTGAGTGGAACCGAGGGGAGCTCGAGAGTTTTCTGATTGAGATCACTTCCGACATTTTCAAGGTTAAGGATGATCTTGCCGATGGGGGGTTGGTGGATAAGATTCTGGATAAGACGGGGATGAAGGGTACTGGGAAATGGACGGTTCAGCAGGCTGCTGAGCTCTCCGTTGCTGCACCCACCATTGCTGCTTCATTGGATTGCAGGTACTTGAGTGGGTTGAAGGAAGAGAGGGAGAATGCTGCAGAGATTTTGAGGGAGGCTGGATTGAAGGAGGAAGTTGGAGCTGTGAAGAGTGGCATTGATAAGAAGAGGTTGATTGATGATGTGAGGCAGGCGTTGTATGCTTCCAAGATTTGTAGCTATGCACAAGGGATGAATCTGTTGAGGGCCAAGAGTATCGAGAAAGGCTGGAACTTGAATTTGGGAGAGATGGCCAGGATTTGGAAAGGTGGGTGTATTATCAGGGCAGTGTTCTTGGACAGGATCAAGAAGGCCTACCAGAGGAATCCAAACCTGGCTAGCTTGATTGTTGACCCGGACTTCGCCAGGGAGATGGTGCAGAGGCAAGCAGCCTGGAGAAGAGTTGTGGGAACGGCCATCTCAGCGGGGATTAGCACACCTGGAATGTGTGCTTCCCTTGCTTACTTCGACACGTACAGGCGTGCTAGACTGCCAGCCAATCTTGTTCAGGCTCAGAGGGACTTGTTTGGCGCACACACTTATGAGAGGATCGACCGCCCTGGTGCATTCCATACCGAGTGGACAAAACTTGCTCGCAAGAGCAATTCTGCTGGTGTGCTACTTTGAACTAAAGCTTTTATGCAGAAGACTTGTTTGTGTTTGTTTTGCTTGTTTCGGGGTTTCGATTGGGTTGTTTGAGGAATGTTTGTCTATTTGAATTTAGAAGAAAGCGTATGTTCGCATTGAGGAAAACATTGGCTAGGCATATAAATGACCAGTTATTTTTTTTGTACTTTACAGTCGATAAGAAATGCTTGCCTCTTTAGACTTCATTGAGTTTGCAATTTATATGGGAATGGATATAGTTCCTGTTTCGTTTTGCTTCCCACTTAATCTATTTTCTCAGTAGGAAAAGTAATCGAAAGTGAAGTCCTTCTACTGATACAGAGCAATAAATGGGACTATGTTCGTATACACATATATAACCTTTAAAAGGATTATTGTACAGCGCTCAACGTGGAAGAAGAAGACCGAACAAAAGTTGTGTATGGAAATTTTACTAGTAGTTCTGTTCCTTCCCATATTCATCGTTCGGCATCCCGGTTTTACTTTCCCAGCAGGAGAATGATGGAAAGATGAAATCTTTCTGTTGATACAGAGCACAAAGTGGCAAAAATGGAAGGCGAAAAGTGAGTGAGAGAGAGAGAGAGAGAGAGAGAGAGAGAGAGAGAGAGAGAGAGCTATGGGAAGTGGCCAGTTTCAATGGTTGGCTGAGTTCTTGTTACTGCCGCAGATGGCATTTTGCTACGCCTTATCCATACAGTTTAAGAACAAAATCTTCATCAGCGATTCAGCGTGTCTTTCCATTACCTGAATCTTCTTCGTCTTCAAAAGCTTCTTAGACAACAACAACCCAGATGTGCCAACAGAACCAGTCCTACAATCCCAACCACGATCGCCACCACCATCCATAGATACCAGAGCTTCTTCTCCTTCCTGTGAACCCCTTCTTCTGGAACCACAATAGAGAAATGGCCTTGATCCTCGACATAACAAGCATCCAACTCCCATGTTTCTCTGAGATTGAAGCTCCCATCACTACCGAACACAATGCACTGTGCTCCAGACCTCTTGTTGATTCTTCCTCCTGGGACGTTCACAGCAACATGCTTCTCACTTGTGTCGAGATTAACGTTTCTGATCATGTTTCATGCACTGATATTCGACACACAAAAAACCTGGAATCCGACTACTGGAAGAAAAGAATAGCCTTGAACATTGTAAAACTTAGCCGACAGATTTCCCGATCGCCAGCCTTTTCACGTGAGACGTGGTCATGGTTCTTGGAGGGATCCAGAAGTGGCTGAAGTTGGCGCCAAGGTCCAGAGCCTCCTGCTTCTCAACCTTACGAGTGAGACCTGGATACCCGATAAATTGGAAGGAAGCAGAGCTTGGTAGAGAGCACCAGTGTGGCGGAGGTATTGGACAACGGTTTGGAAAGCTTAACCTTCAAGTAAAGCATCCAGAGACTGAGCAGTGAAGCCGTCTAAGCTATCTGCTGATGCTGAAAAATATATAGAGGAATTATCAGTAACCAGATGAGATTCAAAACCATGTTTGAAAGCTTTCTGGGTTCTGTAGAACAACTTTCAGAATTCAGAAAGACGGAAGCTTTATTGGTGTGGTAGTGTGTATATGAGCTAGCTGAGCATCCGCCCTAATGGATTCCATTGTTTTGCTTTCCTCTTCTGCTATATTTATTCAGCCCCTTAAAAACTATTATGCTCAATAATTCATTCTGTCCCTTTAAAAGCCAACAAGAAGAAGCAGCCATTGCAGTTGACTTGTTAGTCCGTCGAAAGTCCAGTCAGAAGTTGAGGGATAATCTTTATCGTCTTTCTTCCAACGGTTAACTGTTAATCAGAGCCGGTAATTGCTCTGCGGCAGCATTTTCATACACGGCGTGACTGGAAAAGATCCCAATGTTCTTTTCGCCATACGAGTACACCTTCATTAGGTGTCAAATGGATAGAGAGATAAATCAAAGTGTTCAGAAGTTTCAACCAAAAGGAAGTGTCCAGAATTATCTGCAGCTACGAAAACACGCATAGAAAGGGAATGGAGATTTGGCAGAGTAATTATCAATTCTGCTACTGCACTAAGTAGATGCATATGGCCATCATTATACGATTGTTGAAGATGAGAAAAGTTACATTATTGCTCTCTCTTTAGAAAGCATGGTTCTTTTTCAACAAAGTGACAATGATGGAACGACAAAAGTAAACACAGTACACAGGATCCACAACCACGCCGTTGCAGTATAAAAATGAAATGAACAGCAGACGTTGCTTCTTTCTTTAGATGATTGCAGCATTACAGAAAATACAGAGGCTTTAATTCAACGCAGGGAGCTCTTAATTCCATTTCATCATGTTTGGCTACATCTTTGGAGATCAAAAACAGCAAATCCTTGTTAGCCGCCTACCAGAGATTTTCTTACAACAACACAAAGTAGGCCACATAGGCTGGAATCAACAAAGATAGTTAAGACCAGCTGCTCAAATCTACCTAGTTCTTAGCCGAGCACGTAGAAAAACCTGTATGAAGGGAACGGTCAAACCACAAGAGCAATGATCACTTTTCAAAATTCTCACTGCCTTATGGTCAACTCGGCCCTAAGATGCAGAATGCCATTGATGAAGAAAGGGCTGTCGTCAGCCATGAATGCGTTCCACGGAACACCAAAGAGGTTCCTGTACCCAACAGCTTTCCCTCCTGTGAAAGTGTAATTCCCCTTATACTTGCTCACAAACTCATCAGTCGGCTTTGACCTAGCAGCAAACTCATAATCAACAGCAAAGCTCACTGATCCCTTTTCCTGCATCCCTAAAAACAGTCCAAAGCAGTGGAAAGAGCTCTGTTGATCCATATTACAGTGAGCAGACAAGAAAAACCCTTGCCCACCAAGGTGAAAGGCTTGAGAGTAAACCCTGCCAGCTGGAAACAAATGTTTGCACTCGTCACGTTTTAGGTCCAGGTAGACCACACATTGCTGACGCGGAAGATCAAACTCCACCACCTTAACCGGTCGGTACTTGTATGATCTCTCCACAAGCCGGCGATAGGGAGCATTGGCCTCTTCTAAAGCAAGAGCACGCTGCCTATATGGGGTCTCGCCTTTGAAAAAGAGAGCATCAAGAACAACCTTGGACGCTACATCATGATCAAAGTCGTTACACGACAGGACCTTCCTCAGCTTTCGGCATGTCATGAATGCAAAACGGATTAATCGGACAAGACGGGTTCCCAGGACATCTCGGCGTTCCTCTAATCTGGGATAGTGTATGCGGGCCCACTTAAGTACGAAATCATAAACAGCATCCTCTGAAGCTACTTGGAGATCATCACTAGCTAATACCGCCTCAATACCAGCTAGCGGCAAGTTAAGAACCTCATCTTGGAACCTAAGAAAGAATACAAGTGTTAAAACATTTTTCTACCATTCCATGGTCAAGAACTGCCGGTTCAACCGATTGAAAAACTCCATGTGAAGAAGCATATATTGAGTAGCACAACCATATTCCATGGTCCTGGTTTAAAGAGAGTCGGACTTAGACTTACTTAGATATGTCCTTGTAACGTCCAGCAAGAAATTGCTTTGCAGCATCAGTAAGTGGCTGAACTGCTTCAGCCATTAGCACAGTAGACGGAAGGTCCAAGTAGAGCAACGCGGACTCACTAGTCATAGGCAAGTTTCTAAGTAACCTACTGCAGTATCTCATACACGACACAACTTCAAACTTGTCGGCAGCCATCAACACATCCAACAAAGCAGTAGGGGTTGTTGTAGATAATGTATTGCTATACATAAAATTGAGGAGTTCCATTAGGGCTGCTTCTTCTGCTCAAAGGGGAGCAAATCAACAAACAGAAACATAATGAAAACCATAACCCTTTCCCTTCAAATGCGACAAAAGTAGCTAGCACCCAGAATCACAAGCAAAGAGAAGTTAAATTTACCAGATTCATGTATTCGAAGGGTTACATGCCGTTGATCTGACTCTCTCATCCCATTCGAAAACAACTGCAGGAAAGGACTAAAGGAATTATAGCAGGCAATAATAGCAATTTAAGCACAGACCAGGAATATGGCCCAGTAAATCACCTTGTAGAAGAATGGACTTTTAGCCGCTAATATAGGTGAACTAATGTGTATAGTATTAACTCTAAGAACAGTTGAACAGTCCATGCTCCAGCCAGATTCACTGCCACTAGGGGCATCATCACCTGATAATACAAACGTTCCATTAAATAAGAAGCCCAGGCAACCCCACCTTGCAATATCCTAGGACTTAATAATTGTAAGAACAGAATTCAGGGACAAAAGAAGCACCTTGTTCATTCAAATTCAATCCGCCGTCTGCAGCTGATTCCTCAATCATTGCCACAACTTCTTCATCTTGATTATCATAAGCCAAAGTTTCCTCTGCACCTGGAACATTCAAGTTAAGTACTTGATCTGCGCTTTGCCCAATAACTTCAGCCACTGAAGGAAGGAAACCAAACACGTCTGAATCAGAAACAGCACTTTAGGGATAAAGCTAGTTTGGAAAAGAAAAATTTCCCCACAGAAAGCTCCCCAGCAAAAGGACCCTTCCAACAAACACCTTCTCACATCAGTTTCACACCTTAGAACTATGGTATTTAGCATCCACAAGATAAATGAACATGCCAAGTTCGAAACTTTCACCAACAAAAAATCTCTGATTCATAGTTTATTAAATCCAGCAGGTTCAACCATCTAAACCGAATCAGTTCCATAATTCGAATTCCAGAAACCACAATCCAGAAATAAGGAAATAAACTGAACACAGAAACAGAACAAAAGACCAAATACTTTTCCAAAATCCAGAAACAAGGAACCTTCATTTCAACGGGGAAGAAACGCAGAGGGGTTTATCACAGGAAACTAACCGTTTTCCTTCTTAATCTCCTCCCTTCGACGCTTCCGGTTACGCGCCCACTCGGCTAGGGTGATGCAACCATCACCGTCTGATTTGGTGTCAGGCAAATCAGGAATTATCTCAATCTTAAGGATCCTATCGGAGAAATTCCGATCGTTGAAAGCAAATCCAAAGTCGGAATCGGTGGCAGAGCCACTGTTCCTCGCCGGAGAGAAATCGGAGTCCATCAGCGTCCGGGGTTCGAAGAGGTCGGCACCCAACTCTCTCATCGCAACCCTACCACCACCCCAACGACGAACACCCAATCGCCCCAAACTTTCAGTCCTTCTGCCAAATTTTACAGTTTATATGCTTTATGTTGTTATATATTTGTGGCCTGATTCGAAAACCTAGATAGCAAGGAAGAAAGGACAGAGCGAGATAGATACACAGGTCAGACAGGGGAAGATAGAAAGAAAGATTCAGACAGAGTATTTCAATTTTGTTGTCAGTTTACAGTTTTTTTAATTATTATTTGTTGCGTGTTTGTTTCCCGAGAAATTTAAGGGGAAAATGCTCTACTGTTTGTTGGTAGGCGGTCCGGCGGTTTAAGTTTGGGCTCAACCACAGTACGTGAACTGTTGAATTGGGCCCAAAGTCCAATTTCGGGATGGGCTTTGTCAACGGCCGGTCAAACGACTGTGACCGCCGCTGGGCACAAGGCCTACCGACGTCTCTTCTTCTCGCCTTCCGGACACTACACCGTCGGCACAAAACTCGTCCTTCTTCCTTGTACGAAGTGAGTGAAGTTCAGGCACTCAAGCTACAAAGTCAATTCCGAACTGAGGTTCGAGCAACAGTGAGAGGTCGTTTAGATTGATGAATATTCGATTATGGAAACTCGAGCAACAAAAGCTATACAAACAGAACACACATCCATCGCTTCAGCTCCTCTCTAGGGATAAAAAAAAATGTCTCCATTATAGAATCCTTAATCCAACTAGGTTACATGCATTGAATCAGTAAGTTCCAGTTAACTGCAGCTAACAAGTTCACTTGCAATACGTAAACTTATGAACATGTAAGAACCAATCTGCAAGGTAAGTTGAGTCGACAGGTAAGTACTGAAAATACTCATTGCTTGAGGGTCAGTTCTGCTCTGAGATGCAGAATGTCATTGATGAAGAAAGGGCTGTCATCAGCCATGAACGTTTTCCACGGTACTCCAAACAAGTTCCGGTACCCCACAGCCTTCCCTCCGGTGAAAGTATAGTTCCCTTTATACTTGCTGACGAACTCATCGGTTGGCTTAGACCTAGCAGCAAACTCATAGTCAACAGCAAAGCTCACTGATCCTTTCTCTTGCATCCCCAGAAACAGTCCGAAGCAGTGAAAAGAGCTATGTTGGTCCATATTGCAGTGGCCAGACAAGAAAAACCCCTGACCTCCAAGGTGAAATGCTTGTGAATACACCCGGCCAGCAGGAAATAGTTGCTCACATTCCTCGCGTTTGAAATCCAGGTACACTACACACTGTGGCCTAGGAAGATCAAAATCCACCACCTTGATAGGTCGATACTTGTAAGCTCGCTCCACAAGCCGCCGATGGGAGGTGTTCGACTCCTCTGAAGCAAGGGCACGTTGTCTGTACGGCGTCTCACACTTGAAAAACAGAGTATCGAGGACAACCTTGGAGGCAATTTCATGGTCCAAATCATTACAAATCAATACCTTCTTGAGCTTTCGAGATGTCATGAAGGGAAAGCGGATTAGTCTTGCAAGTCTCGTCCCCATGACTTCTCGCCGTTGATCTAATCTGGGGTAATTTAGGCGCGCCTACTTAAGCAAGAAATCATACACGCCATCCTCTGAGGCTACCTGGACATCATCACTTGAAAATATTGCCTCAATACCAGCCAAAGGCATGTTGAGAACCTCTTCCTGGAACCTAATGGACAATGTGAAGAAGGCATTAAAGATTAGAAGTTTCAAAAATAACTCATGACTTAGAGAATGATGATGAAACATCAGTTTGCAAAGGAACTCACTTCGATATGTCTTTGTATTGGCTGGCAAGATATTGTTTTGCTGCATCAGTCAATGGCTGAACCGCCTCTGCCATTCTAACAGTTGAAGGAAGGTCCAAATACAGGAATGCTGACTCACTGGTCATAGGCAAATTCCGCAGTAACCTACTGCAATGTCTCATACATGATGAAACTTCAAACTTGTCAGCTGCCATCAAAACATCCAACAAAGCTGGAGCTGTGGTTGTCGGTAAGTTACCACTGTACATAAAATTCAGGAGTTCCATCAAGGCTGCTTCTTCTGCTCAATACAGGAAAACAGAGAACACAATTAGATCAAATCCTCCAATGTAGAGTCATAACTCGTAATAGCATTAGACTGGACGAAAAAATAAAGCATACCAGATTCGTGAATCTGAAGAGTTACATGGCGTTGATCAGACTCTTTCATTCCATTGGAAAACAACTGCACGAGCAAAAAAGAGGAAAACAACAATAAAGAACAATAAGCCCAAAAAAAAATTGAAGAACATTAAGAATGGAGAAAGCTTGCTCACCTTGTAAAAGAATGGGCTCTTTGCAGCTAATATTGGTGAACTGATATGTATAGTACTAACCCTAAGAACAGCTGAGGAGTCCCTGCTCCAGCCCGATTCACTGTCACAAGGCGAATCTACACCTGTACATACAAAAAGACCCATCAAGTAAATGCATCACCAACACATTCTAATCCTTCAGTATGCACGTAGGAACCAATTGCAGCAAACGAGTAGCAGGTAAAATACGCACCTTGCTCGTTCAAAGGCAACACACCATCTGCACCACAATCCTCCATCATAGCAACAGCTTCCTCATCTTGGTTGTCGTACGCCAGAGTTTCCTCTGTCTGTGGAATACTCAAATCTTCCACCAGTTCCACTTCTATTCCCGTAGATTCTGGAGCTTCTGACAACCCAAAATAAAAATACCAAACGTTCCTGAATCAGAAAAGAGTCCGCTGGATGGAAAGAACAACAATTCATGCAGAATTTGGCATCGAGGAAACCAATGAGCATTCAAAACCCACATCTTCTTGACCAAGAAACACCTTCTGATCCGCAGATAGGCCCGAAAAGCTCACGCGCTACTATGAAACCCTAACAAAGTTCATAATTTCTGCCCGTCCCAGGTACATTCTGAATCAAGAAAGCAGGCGTACCGACACAAAATGGACACTGTAAACCAAGAAGGCACAAAGATTCACCACCCCTAACACCCTAAACTAGCAATCAAGTAAGCAAATTATTCATTACCAAGACGAGGAGGAGAGGGGAACCAGGAAACCAACCGTTGTCCTTCTTAATCTCCTCGCGCCGACGCTTCCGATCTCTGGCCCACTCCGTCAGGGTGCCGCATCCATCTCCGCCGTCGATTTTGGACTCCGGTACGTCGGGGATGATCTCTAGATTAAGGATCCTATCGGAGAAATTCTGATCGTTGAAAGCGAACCCGAAGTCGGAATCCGCACCGGAAGCACGTGCCGTCGTCGCGGAGAATTCCGAGTCCATTGGTGTGGAAAGCTAGATGAGGACGGTGCCGAGCTATTTCATAGGCCGCCACCGCCTCCGCCACCACTGGACCGAACGATTTCGCCGCGGAACTTGAACGATTTGGGGAACTTTTTCTTTGCCTGTGCTTCAGAGTCTGTAATTGGAAAACGAAATCTAGAAAGAGAGACTAGGGAGGGTATTTCCGGCCATGTATGTTTTTAACTGGACCTCACTCGCGGCCCAAGGCCTAATAAGGCAATTCCGAATAGCACAGAAACACAGCGGTCCACCTCAGCATAGGCCTTTGGGCAATTGGGCCCATTTAACTATCGAAAATCCATTGAAAATAAAATTGGGAAAAAGTGCGCATCCGGGGAATCGAACCCCGGTCAGTACCGTGGGAGGGTACTATGATACCACTACACTAGATGCGCCTTGGTATTTCCACTCTTTCAATAAGAATCTATTATAAAGTTCATATGAAATTTAAGCAAAGTTAAAAAACAATCACCGTCCCAAATTCAATATTTTGAAAACTTAAAAGGAAGAAAGAAAAAAGAAATGAAGTGATTTTAAATGGTATGAGGGTGGTGAAGTTAGGAAATATGGCAAGACAACTCTATAAAGGAGAGGAGATGGTGAGAAAAAGATAAGCGTAAAAAAGAGAGAATTTTGAGAAAAATGTAAAGCTAGAAAGCATTATGTGATTAGCAATCGTAAGGGTTTTCTATTTATTATAGTTGGTTATGATTGTTTGAGTGTCATAGCTTTTGTAGCCTCTTTATATTTTAGAGCTTGTGAGGAAGAGAGTGAACTAGATTTGTGTTCCTTTTGTTGTTAACCGTTTGAAATCTATTAGGCTTGAATCCGGTGGTCTAAGGTTCGAATATCTTAAATAGTACCTAGTTACAAAAAGTAAACCTATTTCACCTTTATAAAAAGAAAGTTCATATAAGTCTTGTGATATAATAAGAAGACATCATACGCATATATTGTCTAATGTTTTCCATGTCATGCCTTCTTGTACCTGATCGTGTAGGAATGTCGGTCCCCCACCTCGGTCATGATAGTTTTGATCTTGATATCTGGTTGTGCCTCGATCAAGTGCTTAATGGTTGCACCCACTTTCTTTACTTTAAGTTGGCGGTGATCCTGGAAAATTATGGACGAGAAGTAGTTGCGGTTGTTCTCTAATGTAGGAATTACCCAAGCACCCTTTCTCTTCGTATTTGCAGCTTGTAGTTCTCACATACAACCCTCTCCAACATTCTTTCATTTGACATGTAGTTATTTGTCGTTAGAATATTTTACCCTCCACTCAAAATTCCGCCGCATGGCTTCTTCGGTAAAAGCATCAGCAACAGCGTCCTTCGAAGTGAACGCCATATCCACCTCCAAATTGGTCGTCGGATTATACTGTCACGACCAGAAATGTCATGACCGTGTTGATCGTCTGAATAACGCTGCCATCTGGTTGTCTTGCCACAAGAGGGGTAAAGGGGGCGACATTAGCGATAAGGCGTTGTCTGCCTCTGCGTCGTTTTCTGGATGAGTCAGGATGTGGCTATGAAGGAGATCGTTGCAAGAGAAGGCACAACTTGTCGGAGGCTATTGTCGTCTCCCTGATGAGCCCGAGGCAGGGCGAAACCAGTTGGTATGCGTATGCAAGAGAGGTTGGTCTTGAGGAATGAGTGCACCTCAAGATGCCGCACGGACTTCGGAAGTCTATGTCCGTGACAAGGGGCATAGGGAGAAATTCGGGGGCATCATTTTGACCATATAAAAATTGAGATGGAACCTCTGTGTAGTAGGCGTAAATGGCTCACAGAACGCCACCTCGTCATCCGTATCTTCCTCCCTGCTCACTAATCTCAAATCTTCATCACTTTCCTCATCGCTGGAGACGAATGGATAGCTCGGTCCAGGAGGATCATCGTGACTAGCACCACCAACATCGTCTTCTCGCTCATGCGAAGTACTCCCAGATCAAATAGTGTTCTCAATGTTAGCCAACTCTGGTCCCCAAGCAGGCCATTTAACACCGTCGGGCTCAACGAATGGTGCAGGCTCAACACGTTGCGGGTATTCTTCCATGGAACCCCTCCTGCAGAACTACCTCCTTCGTAGTTATTTGAACTACCACCCCATTCGTACCCTCCTGAAAAACCATCATCATAAGAATACGGTGAGTATGAGTTTCACCAACCACCTCGGTCTCAACATACACCTCTGCAAGCCGCATCCTGTTGTCACCTAGGAAATGTAACATCATGGTGATTACGTCATCATCATTTATGACAACTTTTTCTTACATAACCCCGCCAGCACTCATGTTTGGATACCGGTATGTAATTTTACCAACTCTCGTTTGTCCGCTCATACAAATCCTGTCTGCACAAATGTCATGGAGTTCTTGCAAAGTGAATCTAGACTCAATTTTCAACATAGTGGATTCACCATCTTCATAATTGATCCCAATGTCAGAGTTCTTCACCCGACCATTCCACCGAATAAGAATCTAGATCTTCTTGAGTTTACCCATGTCTGCAATTTAATCGAAACATGTAGTATAATTAGTACTTAGGGCTACACAAACATAATCCATAACCAGAAACTATCGCAACTAACTAATCCAAACATGTAGTATAATTAGCATTACTATAACATAAGTATACTAAACAAATTCTTCTAAAACCATAGCTAACTAACATCAATCAACCATAATTAATCAAAATATCTTTACTATAACATACTTGCCAGTAACAGTAATTCGTTAAATACAAACCTATAACTACTAAATTATCAACAATCTAAACAATATCAAATTAAAACATACCTTAAACTAGAGTTTTTGTAAGAGATTGGAAAGGGTTTTGGTAGAAATTGGGAGATTTGGCAGGAATGGATTATGGGTTTTGGTTTCAGCAGCTACGTGGTAGGGGGATTTTATTTTTTTGACATACAGCCTGCATTCACCAGGTTTGTCTATAGCGGTGAACAATAGGTTGTTGTTACCTACTATTGCTTGAAAACGTGGCAAACGTTCACCATTGTTGGAAGATCGGACTTAGCCGCAACCACAGAGTATACTTAGAACAAAACTAGAGTGGAGGAATGGAGGGAGAAAGAATTGTTGTGTGGTGGTGTGATTTGGAGGGGGGGGGGGAGAATGGATCTATTTATAGGGGAAGAGGACTACTGAAAATTATGCAGCCCCATCACCGCCTTTATCAGCGGCAGTGAAGGCCCCACATTTTTCAAAAGGAGTGAAAGGCGCGGATGGCTGACGTGGGAGGCTTTGAGGGGTCGGATCTGGGGAGGAAAAGCAGAATTCGCGCCTCACTGCATCCAACGACAACGGTGAAGCATCCGCGCGACGCGAATCGCTGACATGGACAACAGGGAGTTCACTGCCTTTGTTTAGAGCGGTGAATGCCCCACGCTCGTCCACGTCAGCCATCCGCTTCTCATTTACCGTAGTCGTCTGATGCAAGGAACCAATCACCGCTTTTAGTTAAAACGGTGAAGTGTTCACCGTTTTAGTTAAACGTGGTGATTGGTTCCTCACACCTTCACCGTTTTACTCAGCGGGGGTGATTGCTTCACCATTTTGGTTAAACGCGGTGAATATTTCACCGCTTTTCTTCTCGGCGGCGATTGCATTCACTGTCTTAGACAAAGGCGGTGAATGTCAAACATGTGTACTACTTTGGGGGGGAAAAATTATAACTTATGTATTTTGGAAAAAAAAATTAATTACTGGTGTATATTGAGATTTTTCCCCCGATTCGTTCAACTTAACAGTAAATGGCATATGGGATATGATGGGCAGATCAGGGAAAAGTGGTGATTGGACAATTAACTGAGAAAATAATTAAACAAACTTAAATGTTCCTTTTTTGAATAAGTGAAGTGTACCTCAAATCCGAAGTAAATAGAGAGGAAAGTTTTTTTTTGTTTTTTTTGCCATATAAATCTATCTACAAAATATATAATGGCAAAACATGGGCTGAAATACTTCCATTTCAAATTTCGTGGCCTGAGAGTAATTCTAGGAAGGTTATTTTTGTCATTGCACCCAGTTCATGTTTATATATTAAAAATGTTATCATTAATGTGCGAACCTTGGTCACTTGAATGAAGAAAGAGCATGATAACCAATTAGGCTACATTTCATTTATTGAACTCTAGGAATATGTTTGGTGATAATACTTCTATATTTATATTTTATCTTAATCTATTTATATTCTATAGAAAGAAATTAGACTGAAATCAGAACTCAAGTAGTATTGATTAATCAAACATTAATATTAAATTGTAGGGTAAATACAATATATTAGCCACAACTATTATGAAGCGCCGAAGCGGGGAATTATAACCACAACTATGTAAATTCAAATTATTAGCTATAATTATTGCTGCGGGTCAATATATGGCTAACTGTCCGTTACTATTATTGAATTTTTAACGGTGAAGACCACGTCATCGACCATGGCAGCAGCCACGTCGGAATGCTTTTAATTTATAACTTTAAAACATAACAGTTTAGTCAGCATTATTAACGGAATTGTTAACAGAGAGTTAACGTTTGGTCAAGAATTTGAATTTCCATAGTTGTGGTTATAATTCCCCACTTCAGAATAGTTGTGGCTAATATATTGTATTTACCCTAAATTGTATGTGTTGTTTAGTTCAGACAAAATAAAGAAATTAACTAAAACATGGACCTTTGTGACGAGTATAATCATTTTTTCTGACAAATCTACCATAATATAATGATAAAATTAGAACATAGAGTCTCATTTCAAATTTCATGACCTGAGAGTGATTCCAGGAAGCTCTTTTTCGTCATTGTGCCCAATTTATCTTTATATTATGTATAGATTTTCTTTATATTATGTATAGATTTGTGACAAAAAAATAACTATATTTGTTACAAAGATCCATGTTTTGGCTACACATATGTATTTTGTCTAAACTGAACCACACATACAATTTATTATTTAATGTTTGAATCAATGTTACTTGAGTTTCGATTTCACAACTAACCACTTTCTATAAGATATAATAATTTCAGGTAAAATACCTTTCTGACAATAATGAGACGATATCGAGTTCAATGTGATGTTCGTTTCGTTAGTTTTGGATCGGATGTGTTGATCAATTTATAGGGCATGAACATATAAATGAGTTATAAACTTATAATTAACCTCA